TTGTAAAACTCACAAAACGTGGATTAAAAATTCAAAATAAGTCGTTGTATATCGGAGAGGCGGAGATGCTCAAAGCCTGAATTGAAAACATGTAGGGACACTTCATTAACGATGATGGCAGCATCAAAGTGCATGAAAACTCTGTTTATGATTCTGCCAAAATTTTGGGACTCCAATTTCTTTGTTATTCTCTCTTATTGATACAAATTTATTTTTCACATTGACCAACAGCTATCTTTGATGCTTATGGCGTACACTTCTATGTTCGTAGAAGCACGAGTACAAACACACCATATAACATTCATATCTTAGCATTGATCCAAAGTGGTCACTTGCTTACTTTTTCACGCCCGGCCTTAGCATTATCAAATTCTTACAAAGCTTGAAATTGTAGATTTATTAATAGCTTGCTATAATTCTTTTGTAGTAAAATATTCATAACCTTAAAAGTATATATATTATAAGGGTTTGATCATAGGATAAATTACGTCAAATACTTTTCAGGTTGTTATCAAGAACTATAGTAATTCACGAATATTAAAAAAATATTGTTAAAAGGTAATTAAGTAATTAATGGATCTATCCTTAAAATTTAGATTTAGTGTAAATAGTGATGTATTACGAAAAAAAATATTTTTATATTTATTATAACATGAATTATGTTGACTTATTTATGATGATGAATATTAGAGTATCTTTTATATGTGTATTTTTTTTTTCTTTTTAGACAAATATAATCGAAGATTACTTATTTCATCATCAAAGATAAATAGAGTGTATTATGAACTTTTCGGATAAGTACAACTAAAATTTAGGAAAATATTAATGATGAAGAATATAAGAATGAAAATTTATTAAAAAAGGACTTAAATAATAGAATTATCCATATATCCTTATCAGGTACAATATATATCGCTATTATTTTGATTCTTAAAAAGTATAGAATTTTGATGGTGTAAAAATGATTTTATTTTTATTTTTTATTTATAAGATACTATATCTTATATATGATACAAAACTTAAATTTGTGAGAGTGCGGCTTAAACCAACTCTAGTGAAAAAAATTATTAGACATGATTGCTTAAATATATAATATTCTGTGAGATACCAGCATTAATTGTTAACTTGTTAATGCTCTTATATAGGAATCATCCCTTTACGTAACTTCTTTCTTCAGTTTGGAATTATGTGTTTTCTATTTACAAGGACCTTTCTTTAGATTTTAGGTGATAAGGTGTTTTATTGGTGTAAAAAAAAAAGGTGTGTTTTATTCAAAAAATTGTATATCATTATTTTAACGATAAATGTGAACTTTCCGGAAGTCAAAAAATTAAATTCCATCCATTTGCAATACACTGAAAAATCAAATTAATTTTCTAAACAAGTTTAACATTACAAATTAATTTTCATTAAACATAGTATCTATTTTTCTTTTAGTATAAATAATTATGATTTACTTAATATTTATCAAATTGAGGATAGAGCAAAAATTAAACACTTGGCATTTACATTACTTAAAATCATTTAAAAAGAATAATTACAGTTTTAATGACTTTCACAACATCATCTAACCACTACTTGTCATATATAATAAAATAACTATCATAAAAGTCATTCTTATCATAATTTTCTATTTATGTAAGATATAACTTTTTTTACATCAGTAATATACAGACATTAAACTCATTTTAAAAATCACTTATTATTTAAAATATCTGACAAAATTATAATATTAAGTGATCTTTTGAAATAAGCCCAACGCATTGAATAATTGATTTCCTTTCACTAATAAAAAAAGGTAAATATTTTCGTAACTAACCGTCAGTTAAGACTCGATTGATATTCGTTACATTGTCTTGGAGGCTTCAACTGGATTTCGATTCGCTGGGTAAGCATTTTGGCCCAACATTTATATGTAGACAATGCCAGAAGGCAGATGATAAACACACCTCCACTCTCGTATAAACACACCTCATTTTTAAAAAAATATACATAAAATATCTAAATTACCCTTAAAAAAATGAAATTTCAAAATTTACACCCCCTTCCCCGCACCCCACACCCCAACTCAAGGACTGAATCTTGACGGTGGCGCAAGTTTCCTCCGCCGAGCGCCGGTCCTGCGGTGCCGTGGCAGGGCGGCTAGCGAGAGCAGCGGTGGCGGTGGTGAGCCTGACGACCTCGGCGGCGGCGTGTGCGGCAGCGAGAGCGGCCTCGGCGACTGCTGCGGTGGCGGCGGCGATGGCATGCTTGTTGGCGTTGAAAGAGTGGGTGAAGGGAGTAGAAGAGGTGGTGGGGTTGTGGGTTGTGGTGTGTTTAGAGAAGGGCCAAGTTTTTTTGGGCTTGGGAGCGATGGTGTGGGGTTTTGGCGGATTGCGGTGTTTTTTGGCGCCGAAGAGTCGACGGAGAAAGGCCATGAAGGGAGTTTAAAGCATTGGAAAGTGAAAGAGAGACAAGAGAAGTAGAGAAGGAGTGGAATGGAAGAGTTGGAAGAAGGTGAGACTTAAAATGGAGTTTGGATTTTGAAATGTGTTTACTGTTTTATGCTACCTTCTCACGCGACTCTGCTTATCACGTGCTGATGCGGGGAATGGAGATGCGGGATACAGGGGTCGGGGAAGGGAGGTGCGGGGTATAGGAGAGAGGGGAGGTGTAAATTTTAGAATTTTTTTTAAGGATAATTTAAACATTTTATATATTTTTTTTAAAAAAGGGGGTGTGTTTATACGAGAGTGGAGGTGTGTTTATCATCTGCCATGCCAGAAACATTGCTTTTATTTGTTTTTGTCCATAGCAAGCCCAACCATGATAACAAGATTCAGCAAATTTGATAGATAACTGAGCCCAACCATATATTGGTGAATATCTTTTTTTTTTTTCTTTTTAAAAGATAGTAATGATAGGCAAACTAAAAAAAGAAAAATATACAAAAAAAATAGGAAGAGTACTAACAACACATTATTTAATATTACTAGTACTCTTTTTAACATATTTTAATTTTACTATTAATTATTAATAATAAATGTAATCAATGATGTGATGGAAAGAGATAAATAAAAAAACATATCATATGAGTTATTGTATAATTTGTTAAACAAGTATCATATCATATAAGTTATTTTAATATTCTCACTTTACCTAATTTTTCATTTTAAAGGAGATGAATTCATATTTTTGAAGTATCTACATTCCCTTGCTACCCACTAAGGCTGGCTGATAAGAATAAAGTTAATTTTTTTTTTTATATAAAACTTAGTAACTTAAAAACTAGTTTATTTTATAGTTGTTCATGAAAATAAGCTAGAAGAAACTATAAAATAAGCTTGTCTGTTAAACAAATTTATTTTGTTGAAACTAATTTATAAATTATATTGTACGTGGTACTTGTAATACTTGCTACGGGTTACCTAATTGACTGAGTACCGCTAAGTTTATTGCGAGTACACTCATTTCCACAACACAATTTCATTGCCTTGGATGCAGTTCCATTAATTGATAATTTTTTTCGACCCAATGGCTAGTTAAAGAAATGTCACGTAGTAGTATTACTGTATCTGTAACAAATAAGGATACTACTGTAGCGACTGAGGTTGTGGTAATACGAAGGAATTCCCTCATTGAGATAATTGCTATACTTTGACTAAATTTATAAATTAGTCCGAAGAAATCAAGCTTATTTTAATATTTTCTTAGTACACCATTTTTAATTTGCGTATCGATATAACTTTATGGTAGAATAAACAAAAATTAATCATGTTAATTATTATTTTAATTTTGATAATTTGTGTTATGTTTCTTATAATTAAGAGCGGAATGTAGGCAAATAGGGAATGTTGAATGGCGTGGATATGAAGAGAAGATGAGTAGTGAGGCATAGAGAGAAAGTGCAAGTAAAGATAGGTAGCGTAGGGGCGCTCGTGTGGCAGTAATTATATACTATATAGGGTGAGACTGTGAGAGGGTGAATGAATGAAGAAACACAAAAGGGTGAGACAAGTCACTAAATCACGCCGCATACCATGCCTCTGCTATCTGCTGCTACTAAATTAAATGTTCCATGCATGCAATTAATCTACGCCCGCCAAAGCCTTTAATTTAATACTATTCTCCCTAATCCTCACTTCAACTGCTTCAATTCAGGTACTAATAACTCTTCCACACCCAAAAGAATGTTACCAGTTCACTTTCACTTTCACCATTGAAGTGGAAGTCAACAATGTTACATCTACGTATACGCGTTGTCATAATGTAAAAAGATCAAAGAATCCGTCTTGGACAAGTTCAAATAAAGCATGTCATACTTTAATTAAGACACTTCATTATCCAATTCTTTATGACTGGGAATCTCCCTGTTTTGGGCCTTTTTTCATATTCTTTTGAACTGGCAATTGAGTTCGTGTGTCTCTCCCTTTAGTTAATCAGGCACAGGCACACGTTCACCAAAAGAAAGCCACAACACAATGAAACTGGGAAATGCTGTGACGGCTTCTTTAGCAAGACGCGGCATTGATTCTGAGTCATAATTAATTACCAAGCTACCAGGTTTTGACAAGTACCCACCAATTTTATTTTCCCCACACTTTTATCTTCTCTTTCCCTGCATTTCGTACGATAAT